AATCTCAAAGATGAGCGATTATTCCCAACTTGGCGCTTGTGATACTTTTCTCTTACATGGCGCTTGTGATACGAAAGTTCGTCAACTTCAACGGAGTATTTTAAATATTTATTTATATTTAGTCTAAAAAAAATATTATATTCGAAATAACGAGATGTAATTACATGCGAAAATAATTTAGTTTCAAGTCATTCCGAAGACTGCCGTGACAAAAATTGTAAAACAATCAGAAAGGTAGGCGGTTGCCGAACTTGGCGCTTGTGATACTTTCCTCCCAAATGGCGCTTGTGATACGAAAGTACATCAACTTTAATCGACTTTTATTCATATTTCTACATATTTGTTGTAAAAAAAAATGATTATTTTCGTATGTAAATGCATCTCGTTATTTCGGAACTATTCATAACTCAATTTCGGTAAAAATGGCGCTTGTGATACTTTGCCGGGAAGGTGACGAGATGTTGCATGCGTGAGGAATTTGCGATTCGACTATTGATTCTTTTGTAAAAGTTCGCGAGAAACACGATGGTGCCACTGGTTTTCTCTGAAATCAACTCTCAAGCCCAAAAAAAGCTCTCAAGTTGATGCCAAAATGGAGGGGATATCCCACGCTATCCCTCGAGTCCACGTCTACATCAAAACAAACTCTCCATGCAAAGATAGGGAGCAAATACATTGAAAGGGCTGCCACTTTATTTGGGGACTCTAAAACTGAAAACGCGGTAACCCTGCCAATGTATTTGCTCCCTATCTTCGCACGGAGAGTTTGTCTTGATGTAGAGGTGGACTCTCAGGATAGCGTGGGATATCCCCTCAATTTTGGCCTCAACCTGAGAGCTGTTTTTGAGCTTGGGAGTTGATTTCAGAGAAAACCAGTGGCACCATCGTGTTTCTCGCGAACTTTGACGTATGAATCAATGGTCGAATCGCAAATTCCTCACACATGCAACATTTCCATTTCGATGTTTAATTCGTCACATTTTTAATTTTCAGGGGTATTTCTGAAAAAGAAAAATTCACAAGGAAACCATTGGAACCACTTTTAAGACCTCAAAGTTTGGTATAAACAGAGTTATAAGCTTTTAAAGTTTCCAAATTTTGTCTGACCTCTCTCATTGACTCGATCCACTGGGCGGCGGGCGCGTGCCGCTGAGTCCGGTGCAATCCAGAACGCACTGGTATTACTGGTAAGAGTAGACTACCCTCAACTTGATCACAGCTTCCGCGTGGTTCACCCTCGCCTGGCCCTACCGGCCCCACCCCTGTCCTTGTGAAACTCCGAACCAACCCTCGTGGTGGCAAAATATGCCGATGACGAAACTGCACAAACGCGTATTCGAGGCCGGATTAGCCGATGTGTCGCACAGTGGATCGAGTCAATAGGAGAGGTCGGGCAAAATTTGGAAACTTTAAACGCTTATAACTCCGTTTAAACAAAATTCTGAGATTTTAAAAGTGGTTTCATTGGTATCCCCGTGAAATTTTTTTCTTGCAGTACCCCTAAAAACTTAAAATGTGACGAAATAAACAGAAAAATTTGTAGTTTTAGTAAAAAATTGCATGCCCGACCTCTCTGATCGATTCGATCCACTGTGTGTCGGGGTGTTTTACTGCCATGCTAAGGGAGAACGACGTACGCACCTTCAGGCGTTGCCAAATTTCCTTTAACGAACCCCGAATTTTTCGGGTAACTTATCATATTTCTCTTCCAGAATTGTCTGAGAATTTTGTTCACAATTCGGTTATGAGTACCTAAAAATTTCCAAGGAAATTACGCACGACTCGCCTCAAAAATTAACGTTTTGTCGAGGAAGATTTGGCAAGTATCGAGTGTTCTTACGTCGTTTTTCCTTCGGATGACAGTTTAGCCCCCCGACACCCCGGACCCTCCAGAACTTTTTTTTCTATTATTATTTTCAATCGTTCTTTTCTCTGCGAGTGGCCCGATCGAATCTTTTGGGAGCCCTTGAAGTGTCTTGGAAACGTAAACCGCCTTCAATTCATGATGTATGCATCTCGCAAAGCGGGCCGTTTTACCTATCAGCGCCCTGGGACCCTGAGCGCTAAAATCCGGTCCTTCGCGTATGTATCTCCTTTGAAGCGTTTCAGAATTCAGCATATCCACTCATATTTCGGTAATTTTTGAAATTTGATTTAAGGAGGACAAAACATCATTACTTGAAATTTTCGCAGAAAACTCCTCACATAAAGAAGAAACGTCACGGTTGGTTCGTAGAGATGACGATGATTATTTTTCCATAAAGAAAAGGAGAAGAAAAATAACAGGAGGGAAGTTTTTGGCGTGTTACAACCCGAGATTCGTGTTTTTGCAATTTCGTATGGTATGATGAGCTTTGGTAGCATTATTAATTTTTCGTTAAAACATGATGCCGCATCGACCAGCGCCAATTCTTAGCGGGTCGTTGAATATAATCCGGTATGGACTGATCGTGAAGTCATGTCCGGTTAATATATTGATACAAAAACAATAAATAGTGTGACGAAGGTTTTTTCAGAAGGCGCGCGCTCATGTAGATTAGACGGATAGGTAAATCAAATGCCTTGACGTTAACCACCAATGCGCTTTCGTTTTCACTCAATTAATTTGCTGTTTCTGGCAACGAGAGTCGCTTTTAATTCGTGTGCCAAATTACCCCGAGCTTCATTCAGCAGCATTAAATTTAACGTGGATTACTTAGTAAATTGTGGTAAAGTTCAGAGTCATGAATAGCTTTTATTATTCCAAGCCTTTTCGAATGTGTAACTTATAATGCGGCCTCTCAATTTTTCTTTTAAAAAAAGATGAAAAAAAAAAAAAATTCAACGGAATAATATGAATATAAAACAGGTGACACAATGACAGAATTGAATTTAAACCAAAACAAAGTGAAGAATTTTGGGAGGGCTCTGGATAGAACTATCTCGATTAGCGACTTCATCACCATTGTGAGTATCATATTGATCTACAGGGCCAGATTTACCTACTTGCCGCCCCCTTCTCATTCGTTTTGAAACATCCATTAAAACCATCAAATGAACGTGCCAGCGGGGGAGGGGTGCATAAGACGCGTTTACTTGTGTTGAACACATTTTTTGGAAAAGCCCTGTCAACACTATTAGCAAACGTTCACGGAACTTTGCGCGAAAGTTAAGTCTCGTAAATCTACCTCTGTGTGGACAAGGCCTTCCATTCATAAGAAATGAACGAAAAAATTATGAAAGAACAAACATAAATGTGGAATAATGATTTTAACTTCCGCCGCCGCGTCGCGCAGACCCCACCGTGTTTGACGCAATGCGTGAAGTATTCCTACAGTCTTGTAGGCGCTGAGTTTCACGCCGACCGCTGCTGAACGCACTGTGTTTGACGCAATGCGTGAAGTATTCACACAGTCTTGTAGGCGCTATGCGTTTCACGCTGATCGCACTGTGTTTGCCGCAATGCATGAAGTATTTGTGCAGTCATGTAGGGGCTAATATGTGTTACATGCCGATCGCCGCGCCGAGGGTTTCTCCTTTTCATCTCAAGTCCTCGTCATCTTTTCTCTCTAAGTCGCGCCGTTCCAGGCCAAATTGCGTGTCTGGTTTCTCTCTTAACTCGACTAATTAAAGGTGCTATCTCATATGTATCACTGAAAGACGACAAAAGTAGAAATTACTATACTCTCAGAAAACTATACATTTTGTCGCCTTTTCTCGTTTGTAATTTTTTTTTGTCTAAATTCGAATTTTCTATACCTACGTTTAAAAAAATTTCAAAATTTGCCGCCCCCTATAGATTTGCCGCCATGGGCCGCGGCTCATGTGGCCACCCCCTTAATCCGGTCCTGTTGATCTAGATCCAAGGGGTATATCATGGGGCTTCGCTCGTGTAAATGTGAACCAATTTCGTCTTACGTAATCAGATTTTGGAATTTCAGTCGCAAGTAGGGTGTCTTTTAGGGAAAGAAAAAATATAAGACGCTTTCAAGTTTAGTAAATTCTTCTATTTGATTTTCCATAATGTAATTATGGATAGAAATACCCAGGCCGCAACCCCACGCGTGGGTCAAAGGTATTTAGATTATCAGTTAAAATAAAAAACTGCACCATTCTTCGGGTTAAACGCATTACGTAAATTCTCTGGTTGACAGGAATTCATGTACTCCACTTCCGGCCGCGGGCGCGGGATTCACTTTCCGGCACCTGTTTCCGGTTCCGGTTCCTTTCTGGTCCGTGATTGGTTAGTGGACTCTAGTCAGTGGCCAATGAAGGTTCTTTCTCTTCTTAGGTTATGTTATTGTTATTGTTTCGTGCATGTGTGATGTGAACCATTGTGAAACTTGGTGAAACAATTCTCTCCCGAGAAGAAGATTATGTATGTGAATATATTCCAAACAAATTTTGCAGCAGTCGATGCCATATAATTTCCTAAAAACTATACATATCACTCGAGCCCGTTTGTTTATTTGGTGAATTAGTTTTCAAAACCAAGATTAAGATCTGGGTTTCCACTATGAATGGCCAGTAGCAGGAAGTCATCGATTTACACAGTGCAGTGCTACCAAATTGAACAAGAACGAACAATCCATAAATGAGACAAACATCCTTCAAATCCATTTAATAAGTTCCCTGAATCTTAACTCTAATCGTTAATAGTCCCTTGGGGAAACTCTGGTGACAGTCGGAATGCCGGCGCACCCTCTCGCCATACTCGAGCTAATGATCCAGTGAGGTGAAGCAAAATAATCAAAGAGATAATTAAGCCTACCTAGGCAGATTGTATCTTCCAACAACCCAAAAAAAAAAAAAAAAAAAAAAAACCAAGATTAAGATCTGGGTTTCCACTATGAATGGCCAGTAAAAAAAAAAAAAAAAAAAATGTTGATCAGTAAAGACCATTCGGTTCTGTAAGTGAAGGCTTCATATAATTTGCCACAACATCCGATTGTGAGTGAGTTTTTCAGTCGCATGTGTGTTTCTTGCAACTAATCGTAAGTAATTTATTTTCCTCTGTACAGGTGGACTCCTGATTTTCTATGCAATTTTCTACTCTGTGTTGGCTCTTCTCTTCGCAATTTGCATGAAAGTACTTCTCTCAACATTGAATGATCAGTCACCAAGATGGCAGCTCGAAAGTTCTATCATTGGAACAAATCCAGGTATGATCTCCAGTGTTTGACATTCCTATTAAATTCTCTAGCAAGTAAGTAATGAGGATTTACCGCAGTGACAGCTCCATTAAGTAGCCGACATGTCTTCTTACATTGGTTATTAGCTATCTAGCCCACACCAGGCCCCACTGGGTTGGAAAGAATTCAACAGAATAAAATTTCAGTGGACAACTTTTGGTTTGATTGACCAATCACCCTAATGAATATTGTCTTATAAAAAAAAAAGACGATGTGAAAGAGCGAGGAGGATATACAAATGTTTGCAATACTAGATGAAGATCACCATTTACTTGTGACGCAAGGACGTAGACTATATACAAAAGAGTTCAGGATGGAACATTTGGACTTAACTGAGAAACGCTTGAATATGTGAGAGGAGGGTGACACATGTTTTCGGATCTATAAATATAACAGTGGACCAAGAATTGAGTAAAGCTTGAGTAAGTAATGAAAAGGAGCTTGATGTCATAATTCATGTAATTCGTCGGCTCTTGCTGATTGGAGAGTTTTGCTCTTGGTTGTCAGCAATCTTGTCGATCAAGTCATCATCATAAAATTGATAACACTGGGTAAATGGGTGGATAAACTAAATTTGGAATATAGGAGGGACCTTCAGCTTGAAGACTGAATAACTGAAATGAACAAATATTTAATACCAAGAAAAATTGGAAAATTGGAACCGAAAATTTCAATGGAAATATTGACACACCTTATCTGAACTTTTTGTTTGAGTTGTTGACCTTTTGTTGATATAATCAAAAGTTCTATCTGTCTCAGGTTTTAAAATTTGAGCAAGAAATATTTTAATCTTCAGAGGTGCTAGTTTTCAAACCTTAACCTTTTCAATATGTCTCTTGCAAAACTTATAATTTCCTCACACATGATTATCATCAAGAACTTATCTATTTTTAAATGTTTTATTTCCGTTTGATTATTGGAATGTTAACTTGATATTTTTCAGGGCTTGGGTACAGACCCATGTCACCCAATGTTGATGATGGTTCAGTTATATGGTACCAGCATAAAAATGCAACTAATATTAAAATCTGGACTTCCTCATTGGACACATTTCTCCAAGGTAATTTTTTTTTACCCTTTCATTAAATAAAGTGAAAATTTTAGTGGATTTATAGAGGAAGCACTAGTGCCAAAATATGATGAGTGGATGCTGACTCCTTTCATTTCCCTCTGTATTTTTAAGGAACTATCATGGAGAGCTGGCTTGTATATCAAAACAAAAAAAATTCTTACGAGTATCCATCATGAGTACATATTGTGACGTCGAAGAAACTAACGTGGAGAGATCCGGACGTGGACGTGGATCGTGGATTTTTCCTAGTATTGCCTTGCTAAGGAAAAATTTTATATGAGCCTTCAAGTGCTCCTAAATTTCCTTTGCGTTTTAGTGCATCAAAGGAGCTTTTCATTGGTACCAAAACGGTTTAGCTCGGATCAACCGTTCTGAGGTTATAGAGAGTTAAAGATGCTGATGTCTGTCAACTTGCCTGAACTTTAAAGCTTAATGAAAAATGAACGAGGCATCGAGAAAAAATTTAATTTATGTTTATCAACAAAGGTCCCTGAGCAGTATGAGTAGGCCAAATTTCATCAAATTCTGAAGGGGTGAGGTAAAAAAAAGCCAAACTTTTGGTCTGATTTGGTGGGGAATTACCCTTTGATAAAATATGCTTTCCCAGAGAAACTCTGTTTATTTTTTTAGAGTAGAGTTTTTTTGCAGGTTTTGTTCTATTGATTTACCACCAACATGCTCACAATAATCTCTCTCATAATATTTTTTCAGGATATAGAGATCCACAAAGTTTACCTGGAGGCGTGACAAACCAAGTTATCTGTGATTATGAGAAGGGCCCAAGCCGTGGAAAAGTTTGCGATGTTGACATGTCAAGGTTTGGTCCATGCACAAGTGAAAATGGATATGGATTCCCACAAAGCAAACCTTGTATATTTATCAAATTAAACCGGGTAATACACTTTTTGCACTGCTGAGTATTTACTTTAAGGTACTTTAACTCAAAAGGGATGTTGAGATTTTGATGCAAATCGAGTTGACAGCAAACTTATGACCAGTGCCAGAAATCTGACTTAGGGATTCCCAGCAGAGCTAGCACTGCTGTCAAATGCTGAGCATGTAATGTTGTTTAGGGAGCAGTTGCTCAGTCATTACAGTTCCGGCAATCAAATGAGACAGAGTTAAACTAAGGCATTTTCATGCAGACAGAGAATTGCAATATCTGATCCCATTGTGGTTGTGTTAGATCTTTATCTGATTGCCTGTTTCTTGTCAACATATTCTTTAGTCCACTGCCATACAAATATTTGCAAACCAATTTTTTAAAATTTTCTCTAGTAGTGCCTGAAAGAATAAAATGCATGTGATTCAGTTCATTTTATTCCTAATGAAAGTGTAAAGTTGTACAATAATCGGGAAATTTTATCTACTGAGCTTAGCAGATCAGAATTTCAAATAACTTATTCTCGAGATGTAATGTTCTTCAAACTGCAAACTTAACTCTGCTGCAACTCTTATTTGACGTGACATTTTTGGCTTTTCTCTTTCCCCTAGGGCCTTTAGAAAATTCCTCCATGTTCCAATATTAATTAATTAATTTGAGTTTTTCAAACTGAAGTCCATTTTTCCATGAATAGTCACTTTTGATGAATTCATTTTCAAATCTGAAAATTTGATTAACCTGTGTCTTTGCTTTTAATTTAGATTTATGGATGGGTGCCTGACTTTTACAATGATTCAAGAGATCTACCGCGTGATATGCCAGAATCACTGAAGAAACACATCAGAACTATCACGGACCCAAAACAGGTAAAGCACCAGATTTTATTGGTGTATTATTTATAACTACTTTTACCGCCAGTGTGTTTTTGTGTAATTATTTCTATTGGGCCACAAAACGTGCAAACAAATGGCAAAATGCAAACGCTTCAAACCACAGTTACCTCTGTTTGCCATAATTGTAGTACTTGCCACATGGATAGCCCAAGTGTGAAATGACGCATCTCTGTTCACGACGTTGTTCTTTTCCTGTCATATTTTTTTTTTTTTTTTGGAAAACTGATCAACGCAACTTTTTGAAAACTTCCTTAATTTTCTTTCTCTGTTAGCTGAATATCGTGTATTTTCAAGCTACTAAGTTTGTTTGTTTCTCCTCAAAAGAAGAGCATAACAGCGGAAATTTTGATACTCTGCAATGGAGATACGTGGTTTTGCAATGATCATATCCGTCACTAGTGCTTATATGTGAGGTGCTGGGTGCGAGATGCCCCCTCTCAGTTGCTTTGTTTCGGAAATTTCATCATACTAATTTATGTGTCAGAGAAGAATGTAATAGATGACTTTTCCAGAATTTTTTCTGTAGGACATCATAAAATCATTAAAAATATTCAGTAATAATTTCAATGGAATGCACGCATTCCACTTTCCTTACAATGAATGAAATGTTGGCAGAGATTCTGAAACACTGCTTTGGAGAAGTGCCCTGCTTGCTCTCAAAGCCTCATATATCACTAGTATTCTACAACTAGCCGTGTAAAAGACCAGCAAAAAGCGCCTCTTATCACACAACAGCCAGATAAAACTGAATACTTGCAGGGGTGTAAAATTTTTCAAATATGCAGAACTTCTCTTATGGTCCTGCGGTCTTGCCTAAATTGTTCAGTGTGCATAAATAAGTAAATTTTGTGCCTGAAGATAAAAGAAAAGAGATTTTCCTCTAGTTCTAAATGTCTTAGTTTCGAAGGTCAGACTGTAATTTTTTAAGACATGTGTAAAAGTTCTTCATTAGCCTCAGTTGTTCCTCCAAATATTTCTCGATTAAAAATAAAAATAAAGGGGAAAAAAATTTAAAAATAAAGGCATCAAATTATTTTGTCATTATTTGGTACGTGATTGACGGTTCTTCTAGAACTTTGTTTCAGCACACTTCTTCCAGCTTGAATCCCTAATGTGATGTCCTTACTGATGCTAGCTACGATTGCTGAACATTGTTAACCTTTTAATCTGGCCACAACTCTTTAAAAAATTAAACCATCAGATTAAGAATCAAGGCTTGTCTCCAAAAATGATTCTGTCTCTTATTATCACTGAAGTAATATAGGCATTCATTCCACCCCATTGAAAGTGCCAGACGTCTAGCAGTTGATGTAAAGCCAAATTCTGGTTCAATATTGTCTTGAAATCCAACATTTGAGTGTTGCGTAAACTTGAATGTTTTGAGAGGAGACCAAAATCTTCTATACTGGAAAAGAATTGCACAATGATTCTAGATATTACAAAAAGTACAAGATATCGACTGTATAAGTATGCAACCACAAATCTTGGTTTGCGACATTATTTTTACACCTTATTTTAGCGTACCTTATTTTTTTAAATTTTTTATACCTTAGTTTTTAAATAGAAAACTATGCAACAGCAATGCTTAAAAACCGCCATGATTTTTCTTTTCTGCGCGAAGCAAATTCTGCAAAAACTTCAAGGAATGATGTCGATTTGTGCTCCTTTAAAAAAATAAAATAGGAGCAGAGACTTTCAAACACTACAAACAAGACCCAAGGTTGCAAACTTACACTTTCGATGTGTATCAAATCCCTCAGTCCACTAGCCCCTGTGCATTTCCAATTATGGTCTGATTTTTTATTTCAGTTGAGAACGGTGTGGATCAGCTGTCATGGTGAAGGCCCAGCTGATGTTGAAAATGTTGGCCCGATCAAGTACTATCCTCAACAAGGCTTCCCAGGATACTTCTATCCATTTGAGAACACTGAAGGATATCTCAGTCCGCTAGTCGCCGTACATTTTCAAAATCCTAAATGTAAGTTTTCATAATTAATTATTGATGACACAACTTGGAACTTGGAGTTTCCCCATGAAGGTAAAAAAGAAGGGCATGTTGACTCAGCCGTCAGTTTTATGAAATCCAATGTAGTCTTTGAGTATCGCAATCATATTACAGTCATCAAGCCGCAAAATTTTACGTGTGTCAGGAATGGATGAAATATATGAGCTTTTAAAGCCCAGCCTAGGGGGAAAATAAGGTTTATTGGTTTGTGGGTTTTTACTTTTCTGGTAAATTAGAAATTTTGTTGGACATATCTAGAAAAGCTAACTGATCTTTAATTATCAAATCGCAGACCTATTAACACGGACTTGTTTTGAAAATACCAAAAGTGTCTGCAGTTTGACTAAATAGCGGTGCTGCAGGAGAATAATTTCATGAAGCTGCATGCAATTTACCCCGAGGAGTTCAAAACTAGTTTTTTCCAGTTGAAGCGGAATGGGCATAAATGAATCAATGTTGGCAGGGATTGTTTCGAAGGAGATAAGTCAGGGGCATCAAAATTAGTGGTAATCCCTCTTTAATGAACAACAAATGACAAGTTTTATTTAAATTAGCTGCCAAAAACAATGATTTTGAGCAATTTATTACTTTTTTGCAGGAATTTCTAATGTGGATAGCTAATTAAGCTTTTGGAATAGCAGGGATAAGTTTTTGCTGATTTTTGGCGTTGGTATGATTGAACTTTTAACAGTGATTTCCTGTAAAATTTCAAAGAAAGAATCTTTGTTTCAAAGTCATAGCCTTTGACAAATCAGGTTAATTCTTTAAAATCCTTCAGTTTTACCTGTTAAAAATGCAAATTAGTATTTTTCAATTTTACAAAAAAAAAAAAAAAAAAAAAAAGTAGCTCTCCTGAGTGTGTCAAGGATCTTATTCATCTGGCCGGTCACATTTTCAAGAGCATCTGAGGGCCCTTGTTATCATGAAGGTGACATTGCCCCTTCATCTTTCTCAACATCCTGCTTCTCGGTTCATAATGCTCTCAAAATGTTTCTACTGTAATGAAATACCTTTAAAAAGAAAATTTTCAAATAGATTTTAAATTCTTGCCTCTAAAGGTTGGTTTTAATTTTATTTTTCAGTGAATAATCTTATCAACATAGAATGCCGCGCTTGGGCGAAGAACATTATTTACAGGAAAAGTCTCCACCACAGAGAGGGCTCCGTGCATTTTGAGCTTCTTATAGATTAAGAGATTCGTCAGAGAGCCATTCTCATGACCTGAATTCACTCGTTAATCTAGGCATCTCGTCGCTTTGTCTGGAACGGAGGAAGTCCCCACCGTTCTTGTTCAAGTCATTGTCGTAGACCCTAACTTGAACCATCATGGATCATTCAATTTTTCCTATGTATGTACTTAATCTCGTTTACCCTCCTAAAAGTGTTAATTAGTCTGTATTACTTTGTCAATTTTGTTTTTCTTTTCTTTTATCGTTTTTTCTACATGCTAAGAGTTCATGTACAAATTGCCGGTCTTAATTCTGATGGAGCATCCTGAAGATCAAATTTGATTTGTCTATGAATATTATTTAAAGTAACAAACGTTATATAACTTTCTAAAATTAGGTGCTGCCTAAACTAGATAGAACAAAATCAAAATCTGACATGGGGCTGTTGCCAAGTTTCATGAGGGGGGCACGGCTAACTTCCTTTTATTATGACTGAAATGGAACTTTTGGTCTGAATTCCATTGAAAAGTTGTAATAACTTTTTTAAATAAAATTGCGCTCAAGAAGGTAGGGGACCTAAAAATTTTAGAGAGAGGTATTCCTCGAGCTCATGCTCCCCCCCCCCTCCCCTAGTCAAGGTCCCCTTTTTTCACCAAATAAAGTAGAAAAACTTTTCATACACTTTGAGTTCCGAGTATACCTCAACTTTTGTAAAAGAAATGTTGTATCGTTTCCTATAATTGAAGGCTATAAAGTAGGAAATATCCACCTAAAGAAATTTGGAGACTATCATATCTCCACATGAACTTGTTTTATGAGGTACGAGTTTTTTCAAATCTCTGGATGTAGATGGATTAGATATCTCCGCTCAATGGATCCAGTCAAGTACCATCATCTTGAGCATTCTATTTATTTACTCCTCTCTATTTTTTTATGAATGATTGTCAAGTATTGTTGGACATGATATGGTATTACAAACATGCAAGCTTTTGCTCTCAGCAGAAATTAACATAGTTTTTAGATGGATCGAAAGAATGACACTAATTCTGAAAGGGCAATTTTTTGACGCAGAGATATTTGTACTTTTGCTAATTTTTTTCCCCAAGATGGTTCACAGTTGTTGGTTGTTTGTAAATTTTGTGCCAATCCAAGGAAACAGGCTGATTGACAGAGTTAAATATCTGTAGACTATATAGAATGTCAAGCTTTGAGAGGGGTGTTTCAAAAGTAGTGTCCTTGCTTCCTCACCATTTAACTCACCAGCCTTTGTCAGGGCTGTCGGGCATTGAATAATTTTCATGGAATCCATCTCAAATGTAAAACGATCAATTTAACTCATTGCGACTATAGTTCAGCTTTTTCTTCATATCATACTATTGTGGAAACAAATATAGAAATGAACAGAAGAATAAGTTTTCATTCAACGTTTCTTTATGGCTATTGTGAGCAGAATTCCCACCAGCTTGATTGACCACCGCTCATATTTTCTATGACTGTTGACTGCCTTCCATCATAAAACGATCGTAAGCATTTAAGAAGTGTTGTTTTGTTGCGTGAAAGTTTGCGTAAGAGTAAGCCATAATTTGTTGATTTTGATATGAAGAGCCTCCTTGTGTAAAGGAAAATCGCTTTGTGGATTCTAAAGGATAATAAGGAAGTTACCATTTTCAATCAAAGAAAGTGAGATGGATCCTTCTGTTATTTTTTGTTTATTTTATGATACATTGTGAGATTGTAACGAAAGTGCTAGTCCAAAAACTCCTGCAGTTGAGGAGTATAAAAAAGAATTTTCTTCCTATAAATTATTGTTATTGGTTCAGAGGTTTGCTTCGGTGAAAGTCACCAGTGCGAGTGCAAAGAGTAACCAAATCAGAGTGATCAAGTGGGAATATGAAAGCTGATACCAGTTTCATTTTTTTTTATTGCTTGTGCATGGATTTTAATTCCTAATACTCATTGTAAGAACCTGCGAGAAATTTTATCCATTAAAATTTTGAATCTGTGATATTTGAAATCAAAGCAAGATAGTTTGTGAACTACAAAGTTTCACGGATTTAATCTGGACCAAGGAAGTATCAGTGCTTGGACTATATCGTTGTTTTTAAATTTGATCTCAAGAGAATTTTGTGAAATTGGCACTCTGATTTGGTTATTTTGTTATGATGTGTGTCTGTAGAGGAACCAACATATAGAGGTGTCTTGTGTCTTACCAATCAATCAAAAGAACGTCATAATCACTCACTGAGACTTCAGCACTGGAGTGAGGGTAGTTTAAATCATCTGCATGAAGGCTAGTGTTTAACAGCAGGCTTTTTTAATAAATGTGAGGCATGGAAAGCATCATGTTATTTCCTAGAATTCTATTTGATTTATTTATCTAGTTGTAGCACTTTCAGCCTCCATTGCAGTGCTTTTTTGTCTACTGTCATGGGTAGAAATGTTGGTTCCTTTATGATTTGTTTTGATCGCTGCCTGAGTGGCAAGTTTTGGTTTAATTTTTTCTTTAATATGTTTATCTACTTTTCCCTCATTCGTTTTGTATCTCCTGTTTTTGTATTGATTCGAGGGATTTCTCGCCCTATTAAATTTTCAAAAGAAAGGCGAGTCATTAGATGTAAATAAAATTAGCAGCTTATTGCAGGTATATGTATCTTTTCTAATGTATGTCAAATTCATTCGAAGCGCCGCCATCTGTTATGCAGTTCCCTCAGCCTTATAAAATATCTTCCTTTTTAGCGCTAATATGTAGGATGTACTCTACGCTAGTGTTATCTCGTTTATTTTGGTTTTATTATCAAGTAGATAACTGTATATACAAGTGTAACTTTTTGTCAAATTAGAAGAAAAATTGGTCAGCATAGGCGTTAGGGCATCTAAAAAGGATCAAAGCTACTCCAAGAGAAAAACTATCTTACTCTGAATGATTTTTACGCTAACCATCAGTGAAATCTCCTCGCCCAGCCAGTATTAAGTCGTAGGATTAGGAATCATTGTGTTCGTAAAAAAAATTAGAATTTAAGCAAGCCATAATTTTATTTCCAACTATTTTAATTGTTTTCTACTGTAGAGGCATCTTTTCGGTCTCAAATTCGTTTCAATTCCTTGCAATTCAACCTTACACATAAGTTAGGGTCGGCAAGTAAAGTATCAAGTTGGAAAAGCTTTTAACTTGTCATTTTATAACTTTTTCAATCATTTTTCAGCTTTCTCAATCGCAAAGTGAGTTTCAATCTAACTTTGCTCTCAATTTGTCCATTGCTTAAAAGATGAAAAAAGAAGCTTAGCGGTTTTAGTTAACGAGGTTAAAATTATGGTTTGTTTAATCCTGCACATTAAAACTTACTTAATTTTTAAACCCGCTGTACTTAATTGTAATAGATTATTTTGAGTAATTTGCACCATGTCAATGTTTAAGCGAAGACTTTTTTCCTTATATACTGTTTTGTCTTGTAACTGAAGGAGTCGTTCCTTAATTTCGAATACCACCATTTCCATTCGCTCCCCTACATGAACTCTTTATACTCTGAGAATTGTCACTATTTTAAAACTTTTTTTTATGTTTGTTTAGTTTCAACAGAGAAAAAGATAACTACATATTTGATTGCTTGACTGATTTTTACAATTGTTATATGACAAAATCAAACAAATTTGTTTCAACTTGCATTTTTGCCCAGGATACTTTAAACTCAACTTGCTAAATTTTTAGATCAGTGCACCATCGCTCGGCATTTTTTTCACCCGCAATTCATAATTGACACTGTTAGTTTCAGTACACCATTTAATTTCTCTCTGTTTGTGGATAGTATTCATAATGAACAAAGCACTTAATCTTCCTTTATTTTTTGAATCCTTGCAAGGAGAAACATTAAAAACCTTTGGACTAGAGATTGGAGTGAAACAAAAATTAAAACTGATTTCTGATCAAATGTGTGTTAGGATTAGTTGCGATAGTTGCTTTGCTTGGAAATGCACGTGTTTCATCGATCGTAGAAGTATTGTTTCTCAATCACTGAAGGCTTATTTCTTTCTCTTCTACTTAATGTTTTTAAAGACTCCATACTTGATCTATTTTTAAGTAATGCCACTTTAATTTAATTTTGGCTGCAATATCACTGCCCAGTTTTAATTTGTGAAAAAGGAGTTTGTCATTCATCTCAACTCTGATGGAGAATTACGACGTTAATGCTGTTATTGACGATAGTTTTTAATGGGTACTTGCATGTTTGATGCAGAACAGTTTGATATGAAGAATGTAAAAAATTTTAGACCCTAAAAATAAACTTTGAAATGTCAAGAGCTCTTACACATAATAAGACACATGGCCACATCTTTTTGCGAAACATTTCATCACATACGATTTTGGAAATAATTAATTTGTAATATTGTGGCAAAACTTGACGTGATTTCCTAAGGACCCTGCGCCCAGGAGGAGATTTACTGCTTCTTAGTACATTCCGATGAAATTTTTAAGCGGGTCACCTTAAATTTTATCACTAGACCAAAGCCAAAAAATTAGGAGATTATGTCGGGTAGGAGCTATAATATTTGCAATGGAACACGCATCTGAAAGAGGCAGCTGGGAAATTAAAGAAAGAAAGGCGGCAGGGTTGAGGAGGATTGAGAATAACATGTTGTGCAATTCAATGCCGTTCATTTCAAGATGAGGAAGCTGACAAGCTCCTCGTCATGCTACTGGTCAAATCTGAAAAGGAATTTTCTCATGCAGGGGAAGTAAGTAAAGGGAACGATGTTTGTGACAGACAAGCCTACAAGTGATCATCCGCAGGCAAGATTGTAAAAGCATCACCGTTCAATCGCGAATATCTTGGCTCTTTCGTGACTGAATCATCTAAGTTTTTGGCTTTGACCTATGTTGAGCCTTTTAAATTTTATCAAAACGTATCAAGTGCTAGTAGATCCTCACTTGTGCAAGGTTCTTTTAATATAATTTTCATTAAATTTTCTCATAATGATGCCTTTAACAGTCCTTAATAGTTTTTTTTTTTCATTCAATTCATACACTCCGCAGTTTGCTTAAGTATTTATCTTAGTGGATTTAGCAATATTGTATTGTAAATATGATCACGCAGTGGAAGAATTTCAAGTAAAAAGAGAAAGTTATGGAAAATTACATTCTAATGTTTGATTTCGAATTTTTCACAGGCCATGCAAGAGAGTCAGAAAGCAGTTTTGTCACCTACTCTTACTATAAAAAGGTGAAAACTGTCCTTGAATAGGAATAATTTTTTATGAAAAGATAATATTGATATTAGAGAAGCTCCCCATCTTGAAATCGTCCCTTTGGGGAAGTTTTCACCCCCGGCACTTTCACTTACCACAACCTTGACTTTCAAATAATCATCTATTTCCGTTTTTACCTGCAAACACTAGAACTGCCTCATTTAAGAAACAAGTAGGTCACGTAAAAGTTAAGGATTGCGATTCAAAAGCTTTGGGAAAGAGACCTTTTAAATGTGATGGAGCCTTGCGAATAAACAGCAAGATTGCTCCACTTTTTAACTATATGTTGTAAGTAGGTATCCAGGGTATGTTCAATTCGATGCATTTTTCGCCTCTCTCGGAATTTTTTGAATCAATTTGTAATTTTACTATCAATTTGTTATAAGATGGCACCCGAAAGCAGTACAACCAGATTTTATTTTCTTCTTGTATCGAAATATTTGATGTAGCCTTGCTGAAGCTTATTTTCTTTGCAAAAGAATTGTTGCTGTACCTTATTTGGAGATTTTTCAAAATGTTTCGTTGTGTAAGCAGCCCATCAAGTGAAGGAAAACAAAACAGAAAATGATTATGTTTGTACCTACGGACACTTGTTTGAATTTTTATAAATTATTTTTTTAATAAAATCTCCTATAAATTAAAATGCTGTTTTTAATTTATCTTGATCCAAAATCTTTTTTCGGAAGTATCATAGTTCATTTTCAAGAGGATTGCATTTAGCAAAAAGGAACTAGCGCTATTACAGTATTGTAAAAATGTTGCCTCTCCATAATTATCTAAAAAATCTCTCAGATAAGTTAGTAGAAATGGCTTCCCACCAAGAAATTGTCAATTTTAATGAAAAATAATTGTGGAAATTTTAACACTGTACCTACATATATTAAGTATTTTTAAAAGAAAAGGAGAAGTTCCACGATTTTGAAAGCACTGTAATCGCTGGTTCTTTTTTTACTAAACAAGATCCAAGAATAAGTAGGATTACCAGATTTGCATAGTAGCAAAACTTATGAAAAAATAAAAATAAATAGAATATCTATACGGTATTTTTAGTTTTTGATCAGGTATGAATCGTGATTTTTTTATACTTATGAAATTCATTAATGTGATAAACATCGATGGTGAACTCCAAAAATACGAATTTCAGTTGCAAAGTTTTTAAACCTTCGCTCCTATTTTATTTTTTAAAAGGAGACCAAATCAACATCATGGCTGAAATATGCTCAGAATATTCTTCACGTGGAGAAGAAAAAGCAACATAGTTTTCTAGAAATTTTGTTAAGTGAATTTCTGTGTTGAAAGTAAAGAAAAAGATCCTGAACAAAGCATGAAGGAACTTATTTTGTGAGGTTCATGTTACTTTTGTGGTGATGAGATCGCTTCCTTTAAAAAAGAAAAGAAAAAAATACAGCAAGGAAAGAGAAGAGTATAAATTACAAAATGATGAGGATGACAGTGTGAAATGATGAATGGTGAAATGTGCTGCCGTCTGATGGTATCAATATCGATGTCTTGCTGATGGTCAAGCTTTTCTCTTTCAGCCACTTTTTTTCAGCTTTCCTGCTTATGGTTCACCATTTTAACAGCAAATATCAACAAATGTATTGTGATAAAACAATACAAATTTCTGCCACTTCCTCAGAAATCGTGAAATTGTTTCTTTTAGATAAATGCTTAAAAAGAAAACTCTTCCTATACCTACTCGTCTCTTCTCACTGGCAATGGAGGTGTTTAGGTAAGCAGAGAAGTAAAGTTAAAGAGGGTTTACCCTGCATGAACAAGACCATACAAGTATTTTTCCTAAATCTAGCTACAACAATTTTTAAGGAGAAATAACCCGACGCATTTGCAAAAAAATGATTGAGGATTTAGGTGTAGGTATGCATATCAAGGAGTCAAAGAATGTTTTCGAATGAAAATGTCAAGATTCAAATAATAGCGCCACTCACTGCTAATGGAATTTCCATTGCTACCAACATTACTAAAAAGACCCAGAATAATTCGAGTTCAGTTATATGCTGATGCTGACCATTCCAGTAGAGGAAAATATGATAATACTTAGATTTTACCTCAATACGATATAATTAGAATTAAAAAATGACATTTTTTGTCATCAAACTTGAATTTTTGCAGTAATGGGAAGGTTAAATCTGTGACATTTCTGAAACTGAAAGCCGATAGTGTAATTTTTGTCTACGAAGAAATAATCAATAACTTGAATGGCGACTTGTGGCTGCGTGTAAACTGTGTCTTGAGCTTTGACATACTGGAATTTTATGAATTTACTGCGTTTTATTACCGGGAGACACGTAGTAATTTTTAACAAATCTTTTGGTCTGATCGGTTTCCGAAACTCGTTGTTTGCTCGTTTACAGCCATCTCGTATCGAACTTTTCTTTGAGACTTCCAAGTGTTCAAAAGCATTGTATTTTCCGTTAATTTTGACAGGTACGTTGTTTTACGATCACATATGTCTGGATTCTATCGTGCCTTTGTAGAGCGAACGAAGCTCCTCTTTGTTTAATGCAACTAATACAGGATGTAGCCCCCTTGCACCAACTAAATGGTACGGAATTGCAAAATGCCCCCTTTCAAGCAGGAGGGCTGAAATGATTGACATACTGTCTTGGTGTCTCATGTGTCAATTCTCAGAACTGTTTGTTTACCTTTCTGTTTGTCTCATGAGCCTTATCAATATTCTGAGTGATATGCAGATTGTTTTGGACACTACTCACCATATCACCCAGCATCTCACTAGTTACTTTCATTGGTCATATTTTTCTGACCAACCTTACTGTAGGTATATTTTCTGTTGCCAATTGATGCATCTGGAAACTTCTTTAACTGAATGTAGCCCGGAAGTCATATTCTCTCAGATCTTACTGATGGTCGTAATAATGCAGTAAGATATGAATAAGTTTAACTTCGAAGATATGAATCTAGCTCATAGTAAGCATGTTCCACTAATGGCAGTTGGAACGGAAGTTGTGGCTCTTGTTTCAATGACAGCTGCCAATTTGCTCCTCATCTACCTAATAACTTTTGAACCTAGTTAGTGTCCCAGCCTAAGAAATCTACCTCCTTTTGCACAATGGCAGAAGTTCATGCATTTATTTTTGATGTCTCAATGAAGACAGCAGATTGCTTGTCCCACTCAATAAGCAGGTAAACTTATTTGGAACGAACTTCGTCTCAAGTTCAGTTTTGATGAATTTTTACCATCAGCATCTTGTGTGAAGAGCTACCTATGATTTCCTCATTCTAACTTATTTTAGAAATAACATTCAAGCCTTTCATTCTCCCATGTAGATATTTACTTTTATGGATAAGCCAGAAATATTAATCCCTAATTTTGTAATTCTGTCCATTTAACTGTGTAGACAGCTACGCATTATGAGGATTCAAACATTTCTGACTCACTATAGAAGTAACATTAAGTCGATGAAACTGCAAGATTGTGTATCTTGGTCAAAGAACGCCCCGGGGCCGGTCCTGGGCCAAATCTGATTTCATGCTGTGACGCGATTTTTAGGTTTTTGTTTATACCTATTTTACATACACCTGATGATGACATCCTTGACGTTGAAATAGGTATAGTGGTTCTCATAAAATTTTGTGTCAAGTAAGTTGTAATTTCACTACATCGGGATTTTCAAGAAAACAATCTGCTGATCATAGTTTTTGGTTCAATCTTGGCCGTGTTGTTTAATTAAAAGCCAGACTATTGCGAGAGAGAATCATAGGTGCAAAAATTTTTCATCTCTCCAGTGGTTTGTGGTTTCTTATCAACTTTCTTAAAATTTATTTTTCTATCTTTTTGCAACTTTCTTTAAAAAAAGTGTTTTTGTGAGAATCTGTCTATTTTTCATGTATTTTTTTTCCTCTTTACATTTTCCAGACCCTTGTAGAAGGCGGTAGTTCGGTTTTAGTTTTGTAGTGGAACCTCCCACTGAATCTTTTGGAGGATTTCAATCGGTAAGTTTTTATTATCTTATAGATTTACTTTTACTTCCTTAGAAATATTCTTAGTGGCTCTTATCCTCTTAGACGAAACATGTTTTGGAAGTCAGAAAACTGTGATTTTGGCTGGAATTCTTAGACACATTATGAAACTGATATGGGTTGGAAGCTCTTCAGAACCTCTTTATATGATTGAAATACTCTTACTGATGTTAGTCTCAGGAAGATTTCAAATCAAGGAAGTTTCTAGGTGCGTCTGAAACTTTCGGTCCTCAAAGGCAAATGTCTCAAGGTGGTATTCAAAAAGAAGTTTCCGATTTTCTTCTCTTCACATATCTGTAACAATATCAGCAAATAAATAAAATAAAAAAAAAAAAAAAAAAAAAAAAAAAAAAAAAAAACCTGCAACAAATTCTATTTAAAAAAAATTCTTAAACAGCTTGCTCCCTAGCTCTCAGTTTCTTTCTTTTTCTTTTTTTTTTTTTAATTTTTCATAAATAATGTTCAGGGAAGAACTTTACACAAAACAAAAGCGTTGCCCTATTATAGTTTAAATGTTATTTTTCAAAATAACCTTGTGACAATGTTTTTCAAAGGTTTGGCGGGAGTTTGAGCATCATTTGATTGAATCCCACAAATACCCTGCTCTCGCACTTTCATTTTCTGTTATAAGCCTCTATCTATTTCAGTTCTACCTAGGCGATACAGTTTTAAAATTTTCCATGTATAGGCTGAATGATTGTCCAGGGCCCATATCTAAGGATACTAGAGGCTTCTTAAATGTCCAAGAGTTTGAATACCCTATTAGAGGCCAAAGTTCTCATGAAACTGCTATTCAAGCTGTTAAAATGCCATCCACTTACTTAATTTTGTCAAAAATATAGTTGGAATTGTATCTTTCCGTGCTATGTGCAGAAATAATTTGTCACTCTGGAGAGAAAAATAGAAAAGAATGGTAGGTTATTGAAGTAACCCAACTATGAGTCGGTTGAAATATGAAGAGTCCTCAAATGTGTTCGAAGCATTCATTTAAGTATTGCTTTCTGTTTATCAGATATATGTTGCCTTTTTTTCGTCGTGTCTGATTTTCAAGGTATAGTTTTGATAATCTTCAAAGACTCTGGAGGAGATGTTTTCCCTTCAAAAAGAAGCATACAGTGATTTTTAGGAATCTATCTAGTTTCAAAAAGAATACATTTTCTCTCCATGTGTGGAGAAAATGTATTTTCTCCTGCCTCAGTTTTGGTAGGTACTACTTAGCATGAACCTATGAGATTATTTAAGTAATTGATGCTCAGAGTGAGTGGGTGCCAATGTATAAAACTAAAACCAAAGGACATTGCACCTCTCACAGCTTTCAATCTTTTTATTTACCACTTTATTGACGCTTTACTTTTCATTTTTTCCCCAATGTGCCTACTTAAATGTGACAATTAACCTGATTTCATTACAATGAGCTTGTGCTGGTTATAACAACCTTACAGATATATTTGAGTTGAATCAGCTGTATTTTTTGCATACAAATTATGATCCCTTTGTTCTGCAATATACAAGCAAATAAATCAAAGAATCTATGCGATCATGCATCTCAAACAAAAGGCCAATAAATCTCTTATTGCAGTAAAAATACTCAGGATTCAGATCATGCTTTTTTCTCCAAGGCTTGTGACAGCCGTTTGTGAAAGTTGTGATGACTTCATATTCCCAGTCGGATTGTCGAAACGTCTGGAATTGCGTGATTAGTTATCTGATCGGGAATTTTTCCTGGAAGTTCATTTTCAGTTTCGTGTCAGAGAAAAATCGTGGGCCCCGTGGAATATTGGTAGGCAATTTCTTCCAGCGAAGCATATAGTTCAGAGAGTTTTTTTTTCCCCTCAGATGTGCCAAAAATGCGGGATTGCAGGTTACGTTAGGTAAGGCAGGCAGGGGTAGTTAAAGAAGCACAACCCGCACCCTCCTCCCCCAAACTCCAAGCACGATTACGCGAGGAGATTTGCGAACCACGCCCGCGTTCCAAAATTTTTGCGCGAAAGATTTGCGATCGGATCGGCGATTTCGTGCGAAAATTTCTCGATTTCGCGGAAGAATTTGTCATTACTCGCTCTTCCCTTGAGAATTTCCAAATCTTAATTTTCCAATTTACTTCCTGAAGAGGAGATTTGTACATTACTCTGAATTGTATTTTAAAGCTTTCATTAAAATTAGGGGACTCCCTGAACCCTAAGCAAAACTTAGAAACTTCCCGGATTTATTTGATAGAATATGTCTACTAGGAAGGAACTTTCTATATCCTTGCACATAAGTTTTTGTCAATCATCAATCTGGGCGTGTATGAAAGAAGAGTTTATTGCTCATTCCGAGACAGTTAGGTAAGATTTCACCTAGATTTATGGTAGGTGTCAGCACTGCCTGGATTAGGTTCCAGTCCTACAAGGGTATTTATGATACCTAGTGTTAGTACTTTCCCAGAGTCTAAATAATGCCACCCTGGGACCGGATTCAAGAGTCGTTTTGACTATAATTTCACCCTTTTGCATCGTTTATGCGCTCCGAAATTTTAGACGATGGTCGATCAGTGTTCAGTTTTTGCCTGTAGGCGAAATCTCCTGAAAATGCGGGAATGTTAGGAAAGCTAACGCGGAAAAATCGACTTTGAGGCTGGATCGGAGAACTGCATTATTACCTACCATTCTACATTCCTACCATCTGCCAAATTATGGGATTCGAGGGTGATGAAGGAAGGCATTTCTTTTAGACCCTGGGGCCCGAATTTTGCAGCCACTTTAACTCGGAAATGTAATATCCGTCGATGATTCCCAACCGCATTACCAACCAATCATAGGCGACGTAGCGCAGAAAAAAACTTCGTGCATGAGACCCAAAAATAAGTTCATATGGATCACTGAAGTTTTCGGATCACGCCTCCAAAAACTTGAGGTCCAGCTGCTGAAGTTCGGGTCAGACACTCAGACATCTGAAGTACTTCAGTTCGTACCGGAGTACTTCAGATGTATGACCTGAACCCTTCGGTATATACCGAAATACTTCAGATGTCTGAGTGTCTGACCCAAACTTCGGCAGCTGGACCTCAAGTTTTCGGATGCGTGGTCCAAAAACTTCAGAGATCCATATGACCTCAACTTCGGGTTCCATGCACGAAATTTTTTTCTCCGTGTTTGAAGCTGCGGTAAAGAATCGATTACTAAGGTGTTCAATGCGAACACCCTGATTATCAATCCTTTTCCATAGGTTTAAATGACAGATCAATCGATGTATCGCAAAAGTACGCCATGCCACTGTAAAGAAGCTACTTGGTTTCGCTCTTTAGTCGCACGGATATCTGAGTACCGGTGGGGAACCGACGAAATTTGGCCTCTGGTTTTTCTACCCCTGGAAACAGAGCGGAAACAAGAGAAGTCGTTTTTGGCGAGTTGAGATTGGCATTAACTAACGTTGCGTTGAGTGGTGGGTGCGCAGGCGTGGCTGTCGAGTTGAGTGAGCGCGGATCCGTCTGTCGCCTCTCACGTCACGTCGCGTCCGCGTCATCGTCCTCGCGACCGTGGCCGTGGTCGTCCTTCACCGAGAGCATCCTCCAATCCAAAAACGCCATTTTTCCCGCCGTCTCTCCTAGAGCATCTATATGGATTGCATCCTGCTAAAAGGAACCGGGAGCTTCGCAATGTTGCTAAGATTGTGCAACTTCATGCATCGTAATATAGCTATTGAAATCCTGGAAAAACATGGAAATTTACAAGGAAATTTTTGTCCTTTTACAGTTTTTAGCAAGTAAAATAGAAACTTTTTATAGATAATCAGGTTTTTTTCCGAGACAAAAGGAGCTGCATAATCTTAGTAACATTGCAATACTCCGTGTTCCTTTTTGCAAAATGCAATCCTTATGTGAAGAGATTATTGCCATTTCTGCGCTGCTCTTGGGTCGCTACACCAGTTTTAGGCAGAGGCTAAGAGAGGCCCTTCACTAGCCTCTTGGCGATAGGCGGGAACCTTTACTTTCGGGGATTCGACACTTCTCTGTGGACAATGGGTCAGCTGCGCTGGTCACAGAATCGTGTTTCGAGGCCTGACTCTTGTAGATCAGGTGAAAAAGAGTACGAACAGCAACTCTCTCGCGAGTTACCGCGCTTTGAAAAAGTAACTTTATGACGTCATTCACCGCGGTAGTGACATCCTTGGTTTCTTCCGCCTTGCTTTCATCCGAGATTTACAGTGATTAACCAGTGCAAATGTGTGCGTCACTGACTGATGAAAGCATGGTAGAAGAAACCAAGCACGAAATCTCGGTTAAAACTGAACGAAAAAATCTGTTTTGACAGATTTTATTATTCTTAGTTGAGCTACAAGAATCAAGCATCAAGACACGATTCTGTGACCAGCTTAACTGACCCATTGCGGTGTTTTAGAGGAGATTCGCACCGTGCATAAGGAGATTTGATTTCGTTGGAATGCGCATGCGCCGTTTTTCCTCCACGCAATCGTGTAAATGGCACTCAGGCGAAGCTGCGCCGGTATTCCGTGGGAGTGGTGGAAATGCCCTGCGAGAGATGAGTCGGGGGTGGGGGTGGATGTGGGGGCGGGGGCGGCGAGGGTGGTGCAGTCTGAAACTTGGACGTGACGCGAATGTGCAAAGAGCGAAATCCGTCGGCCGCCAGCTCCCGCCAACACCCTCTTTTTTCGCACCAACAGACTCATTTAATGGCTACATCATTCTTCCCATCTCTCATCCATCATTGTTTCACGGCTCTAGTCCGATTGTAACCTCAAACATAACCTCGAGTCCTTTTATGTCCAGTTTCTCATCGAGTGTTTCGAGATCGACCGGACCAGTTCGCCTTCAATTTTTCAATTAGGCAATATGAGCGACTCAGGAGCAGTAATAGTTGCTGCCACTAGTTTTGCCCTGCGTCTTCGCTTTGAGCGGAGTATTTGCGGGTCAATAGCACCCTTATTGAGTGTTCCGAAATCGTTAGGTCCAGTCCAGCTTGCCTTCAATATTG